GAGGAGGAGGAGGCGAGAGGGCTGGCGAGGGAGAGCGCTCGGGGGGGGGGAGGGGGGGCGGGGGGGGGAGAGGCGAGGAGGAGCGGTCGGGGAGAGGCCCACAGCTCAGGGGTGTGAGAGGGCTCTGGCGGAGGAGAGCGCTCGGAGGGGGCGAGAGGGGGGGGGGCAGGGGGAAGCGCTCGAAGTGGGGGGAGCGCCGCAGCCCGGAGAGGCGGGGGGGCGAGAGGGGGAGGGGGCGAGGGGGGAGCGCTGAAAAGGAGGGGCGAAGGGCTACACTATAAGACGACGTGCTGACTGAACGACGATGACGGCGGCGGCCACCACCACCAACACCACCACCACCACCGCCACGATGACGACCTCGACACAACACCCTGCGCCGTCGCCGTCGTCGGCCACGGAAGCGGCACCGCTCGCTGAATACCGTGTGGGGGGGAGAACGCCACGGGGGGACCACGCTCAGGGGGGGAAGCATCGGGCTGGAATCGGCGGTACGTCGCCGACAGATCGGCGATAGGCCCCCGAGAGCCAATCCAGGCACTCCTGAGCAGGGTGGGCTACCGTGCCCCTTATCAGCCATGAGTGGCCAATTCGGGCCGATGCGCTTCCCCCTGAGCCGATTCCACCCACACGCTGCCCCTGGGGAGAGGGGGGCGGCGGTGGCAGCAGCATCAGTCAGCACCCCATCGTGAGACCAGATCGAGTCGGAGCGTGGTTCTGAGCATCCTTCAACCGACCCTTGCCCCCACGGGCATAGACTTGGTCCCGCTGGCGGGCGGGCGGGACTCGTCCCCCTGAGCGGCCTCGCTCCCCTCCTGCCCCGCCTTCGGCCGTGCCCTCTGCTTTTGTCCCCTCCTCCTGCGGGTGGCACAGTTCGCTGCAACGGTACACCCGTTGAGGCAGGCCTCCGCCAGCGCAGTTGCTCTGCCCAACCGCCGACATGAAAAAAGCCTGTTCATGACTCGGGGGGGTCCGGGTCCACGGCTGCACTTTGGAGTCCAGCCCTTGATCCGTAGGGGGAGCGGCGGCCGTGTGTGGAGGCGTCCCCGCCCTGTCAGGGGGCGCCCAGGTATCCGCACCCACCGAGCCTTCGTGGGGCCCCCTCGGGATTCCTCCGAGGCGGTGGACATGGTCAGAAGGAGGGGGACGAACGGTCCTTCGCGGTCCCTTGGTGCGTGGCTGAAGTGGAATTCTGCGGCGCAGATTCCGCTTGTTCTTGCTTGTTGTCGTCGTCCCGTCCGCGACCCACCTCGCGACCCACCCGCGACTCGCCCCGCGACCCACCCCGCGACCCACGCAGCGCCCCACCCGGGACCCACCTAGCGCCCTCCCCCTCCCTCTTATCCGCAACTGCGGGGTGCTACGTACCATCAAAGCCCATACAGGATTCGGCCTGACCGAAGGGACGACAAATAAGGAACGAAGCCATTTTTTCCAAGGAACACCAGGGAGGCTCGCCGCCAAAGAGGTATCGGAACGCATGCAAACCAAAGAAACGACCGGGCCCCTTTTGAAAGGTAAGTGTTCCTTATTCAAGCCGGACCCTGAAATCAGGATTCGCGGTAAGGATGCAGAGGCCTTGGAGGGCCAGGTTGGCGTTTTCGAGCGGGACTGGCCAGCGGGCAAGGATGCAAGGGTAGCCTTGGAAGGTTGCTCATCCTTTCTGTGCGACTCGACTGTGCTTCATACCCTGACGGTGGCCAAGGAGGACCCCCGGGGCGAGGACGCCCTCGCCAGAGGTGCTGGCCACGCCGCGACGAAGGCCGACGCCTCTGGCATGCATGGCTGCACCAGCGCAGGCACCTCGGACACCTCTGGTACCGGCGCGTGCACCTCCCAAAGAAGGAAGAACTGCACTCAGAAGACTTCGTGGAGAGGCCCCGGGCCACACCAATACACAGACACAGATCACAGAAGTCCCGATCTTTTCCCACGCTTTCGTGGTTTCCTGTCTTCCCCCCCACTTCCCATGTTTTCCCACATGTTCTGGGAGGAGCAGGAGGAGGAGGAGCAGGAGGAGGAGCAGGAGGATACGATTAGGAGGAGCAGGAGGAGGAGCAGGAGGAGGAGGAGGAGGAGCAGGAGGAGGAGGACCACGGCAGGGGAATCGACGATTACCCGTGCCTGTGTGTGTTGTCCCCTCCTGATGTTTGGAGCTCCGCGCGGATCTCGTGGAGCTGCGCGGAACCCTCCACGCCCTGGCACGCGGGGCGCGCCAGGGGGGCGGCGTCGAAGGCGCCGCCAGCGCCAGCCCAAGGCATCCGCGCGGACCGTCGAGCATGTCTGGTGAATGGGGGCACGCGAACAAAATTTACCCCAGTGCGACCCTACCTGGGAGTCACGAGGATCGTGGCCTCCGAGGGGGGAGCCGCAATCGACTATCCCCCCTCCCGCCCCAAGAGGCCCCAAAGAGCCCCCCAAGAGGCCCTGGGGGCCCCCAAGACGCCGCCAAGGAGCCCCAAGAGACTCCCAAGAGGTCCCCAAGAGGCCCCCAAGAGGCCCTGAAGAGGGCTCCACAGCCGGCGGAATGAGCGAAGCGATTAAATTATCCCAGTGCGACCCTACCTAGGAGTTGGAACCCCTAGGAAAGCAGCATTAGTAGTCACAGTAACGCTAAGCTAAAGCTAAGCTAAAGCTAAGCTAACGCTGAGCTAACGCTAAGCTAAAGCTAAGCCACAGCTAAGCTAAAGCTAAGCTAAAGCTAAGCTAAAGCTAAGCTATGGCTGAGCAACAGCTAAGCTAAAGCTAAGCTACAACTAAGCTAAAGCTAAGCTAAAGCTAAGTTAACGCTAAGCTAAAGCTAAGCTAAAGCTAAGCTAAAGCTAAGCTAAAGCGAAGCTAAAGCTAAGCTAAAGCTAAGCTACAGCTAAGATCAAGCTAAGATCAAGCTAAGCTAAAGCTAAACTAAACGCTAAGCGAAAAGCTGAGCGAAACGGTAAGCGAAACGCTAAGCTAAAGCTAAGCTACAGCTAAGCTAAAGCTAAGCTAAAGCTAAGCTAAAGCTAAGCTACAGCTAAAGTTAAAGCTAAAGCTAAAGCTCCCAGGGGACGGGGGAACCGCTCCCAGGGGACTGGGGGAACCGCCCGGGGCGCTTTGCACTGCCCGGCCCCTTTAAGCTAAGAGAGTAGGAACCCTTCTAGGCAGAGCCTAGGTAGGGAAAAACACAAACAACAAAAAAAAGGGAGCGACACTATTAACAAACAAGTTTCGCGGGGGAGGCGGGTAGGACACGAATAGACCGTGCGCCTTCGACCTCTGGAGCCGACACCTCCGGAACGTCCGCCTCCTGTGCCCCTTCTGGGCCCCACGGGGGCCCTTGGAAGGCCCCTCAGGTGCACGGGGATTGCAGCGTTCTTCACCCCATCCATCTATTTCCCAACGCCGAACAGAGCCGACACCTGCTAGCATGCGTGCGCATGCGCATGCTCGCATTTAAATGGTCTCAAGGACACACAAATCGATAGACACATAGCTCTACATTCCGGCAAAGGGGCCCAGGGACAAACTAAGAACTATGCTGACGAAAAAGTAGACGCACAATAGGCACACGTCCCAGAACCCCCCACATTACATCAACAGAGACGATATACATATATATATATATATATATATACATGTTTCTATATATATATATATATATATATATGTATCTATCTTCTTGATGCTTGTTCTGGATGCTCGCCTTCCCCTCAGCTTTTCCCACGCCTTCCCCTCTCTTCCTGGGGCCGACGGCTAGCTGTGCCCGTGCCCTGCCCCGCCCGCGCGGGCAGGCGCCCGTCCGAGACACCACTCGGGAGCGGCCAAGAGGGGGGCGTCCGAGAAGGGGGAGAGGCGCAAGTCATGACCGGCGGCATGTGCGCGGGCCAGGGACGTGGCCGGAGGAGGTGGAGGAGGAGGAGGAGGAGGAGGGGGAGGAGGAGAGGTGGAGGTGGAGGTGGAGGTGGAGGAGGAGGAGGAGGAGGAGGAGGAGGGGGAGGAGGAGGACGAGGAGGAGGAGGAGGAGGTGGAGGAGGGAAGAGGAGGAGGAGGAGGAGGAGGAGGAGGGGGAGGAGGAGGAGCAGCAGGAGGAGGAGGCGCCATGAGATCCGGGAAAATATGGGGCCGGGGCAGAGCACGAAGGGTGGGCGCCGGGGGCCCGGGCCCGGGCCGCGACGCAGGCGGCGCGGCGGAGGGGCGAGTCCGAGTCCGATCCTCGTACCGTCCTCCTCTCCTCTCGTCCTCGTCCCTCACATCCCCTCCTCTCATCCTCTCCCTCTCTTTCCCTCCTCCTCCATCCTCCTCCCCCATCCTCCTCCCCCTCCTGCTCCTCCTCCCCCTCCTCCTCCTCCTCCTCCTCCTCCTCCTCCTCCTCCGACCACAAGAGGGCTTCCACAAGAGACCCAGCCCCGAGACCCCAGGACATCCATTGGTATTCGGTGTGGGAGCGTCACGCTCCCCACAGAAAAGCCATCGGAGCCCAAGAAACCCAAGGCACCCTGGAGACAAGCAGGGTGTGTCTTGGCATAGGTTTTCACTGTGAGCAGCTGTGGCGGGAGGCAGAGGCGGCGTGGGGGAGGGTAGGCCGCGCTCAGAGCATGCAGTCCTTGTGCGCGAGTGCGGGGTTGGGAGACACGCGCGGTGATGAACGGTGTCGCTGCTCGGAAGGAGGGGAAAAGGTGCGTGCAGGAGGGCGCCAACGATACACCTGCACCGATCCTGGCCAGGCCCACCGGTAGCCTACGATGAGGTATAACTGCTACGCCCTCCCGACATGGTCACGAAAGCATGTGGCCCGTTTCAGAGCCCAGGGGCCAAATAGATGGCATCCATTGTACGGGCACTGATTTTGCCTCCGCCGCCTTCCGCCAGCACAGGCGCCCTCATTGTGGCTCTCTGCTGTCTTCCGCCGGCCTTCCGCCGCCTTCCGCCGAGGAAGAGAGATGCCGTCGTCTCGATCCCTCGACGGCGGGGCCAGATGTGGAGCTCCCCATGTCCGATCCCGGGCCCAGGGCAAGCATCGGCGCATCGATTTCTCTGGCGCCCTCCGCGCCTGTGCGGGGGGCGCCCGCGATCGCGGGCGAGACCGGCAACAACGGCGACCTTCCTCTGCAGCGCGGGGTCCTTCCGCGGAGGCTCTCGCAACCCGCGCGCGCGCCCACTGTCAAGCGCAGCCGGCGGTTTCGAGCGCTCCCTATCAACATGGTCTGAGCGCCTGGGAGAGAGGGGGCCAGCACGGCAGCAGCGGCACGCTGCCGGGGGGAAAGTTCCGTCACCGTGCCACCCCCGAAGAAGCACCAGGGCATCGGGCAGGAGCGAAGGAGCACCCTGGCGGGCTCCCCACGGCGACGTGTCGCTGATACTGCCCCCTCCCCGATCTTCGGAGGCCTGGACCTCAGCACCAACACAATCTCAGGGGGGCTGCCTCCACTGGGAGCAGATGGTCCTAGATGCAGGTGCTGGCGGTAGTGTACCTCGGCCGCCTATAGGAGACCCGAACATGACCACATCGCCGACATCGGGATCATCTCCCCTCGGTGGAATCAACCGCCGATGTTGGTGTTAGTGCCAACCTCTAGGCCTCGGATGACTGCATCCTAGTACACACAGCGAGCAGTGTTAGGCCTGGCCGCAGGGACCACTGATCCAGCGGCACCCGCCGTCGCGGGGCGGAGAGGACGTGAGACGCCCCCGGGGCGGACCTCGACGCCGTAGAAGGGCCTGGCCCGACCGGGAAGCCCCGAGAAGCGGCCCAAAAGAGCCATAGCGCCCCGAGGGGGGGCCCCTCCGATGGCGCTCAGGGGGGGGTCTTCTGGGGGGACACGGAAAAGCTGGGGGCAGTGACAGGGTCGAGGCCAGGGAGGGAGGGGGGAAAACCACCGCTTCCTTATTTTCCGTCCCCATCGCCGCACCCGCTTTCCTGACGCCACCCCGTCGCCCCATGTCACGTGGCCGCTTCTCTGCATTACCCTTGGTTTCGATGGGGGGAATGGGGGGAGGAGGGGAGAGGGCAAGTGGAAGGGGAGGGGAGGAAACGAAAAGGAGGAGAGAAGGGCTGAGAACCGAAGCGGAGGACCGAGGAGGACCGAAGGAGGAGGAGGAGGAGGAGGAGGAGGAGGAGGAGGAGGAGGAGAAGGAGGAGGAGGAGGAGGAGGAGGAGGAGAAGGAGAAGGCGGACCGAGGAGGAGGAGGAGGAGGAGGAGAGGAGAAGGAGGAGGAGGAGGGAGGAGGAGGAGGAGGAGGAGGAGGAGGAGGAGGCGGAGGAGGAGGAGGAGAAGGAGGGGGGAGAGAGGATGGACGAAGGAGCAGAGCGAGGGGAAGTCGGGAGGGAAAAGGGGGGGGTAGAGGAGGATCCTGCTTGCCCTCCTTCCTTCATCTCTCCTTTGCCATCCCTCCTCAATCCTCCCTTCCCCCGTCCTGGTTTCCCTGCCCTCCCTCCCTGCCCCCTCCCCGCCACCCCTTCCGTCCTCCCGCCGCCCTCCCCGTGCCCCCCTCCCCCCCCCTGTGTCCTCGCGTCCTCATGTTGCATCTTCGGGGGAGCTCGTCTGTCCCGTCGCGCCCCTGTCCGTGTCAATCGAATTCGTGGCGGACTCGCCGAATCCTCGCCGCATCCGCGTCGAGTCCGCGTGGAATCCGCGCCACATCCGCGCCGAGTCCGCACCGAGCCCGCATCGGGAACCAGGGAGGCCACCAATGTGTGGGGGGGAGGGGCGAGGCCCCCCGACGATGCCGTGCGAGTGTCGTCCCTCCGGTGGAAGCACGGAGAAGAGCAGACCCGCGGCGCAGGTGGAATCCCCCAGCTGTCCCTGGGGCTATGATGTTCCAGCCTACTTCATAGCCTCGGTCACCAGAAAGAAATCTCGAACACCAGAAGAGTCCCGAACTTCCTAGGTGTTTGCGTGTCGGGCCCTGGGAGACACTCGCCCGACACTGTTTCGACACTCCCATCGACACTTCTTTCCGGGTGCTCGAAACGATTTCTGGGACGCGGCCCTCGAGCACGACGGGAGCAACATAACCCTGGGGGGGTCCCGAAACGGGGTGCGGCGACGCACCGTGCGGTGACCTCGGGACCCCGGAGGCCTCACCCGCACGGTGCCGCCGTTGGACGCCCGAAAATGGGCACGGAAACAATGGGTACAATGCCCAACAACAAATGTTGTCCCAGACCAACAGCGGCCGCTGTTGGGCAGGCGGCCTTCTGTCTCAAATGGACACAGGCCGCGGCGACGCCAACAGCGAGTCCTGTTCGGAATGAGCAGGGACTGCTGTGGGGCGTTGTGCCCATTCTTTCCGTCCCCATCTCGGGCGTCCAAAGGTGCGCCACAGCACCGCCTTCTTGGGGGGGCCTCGGACGCGCCAGGCCGGGCGAGCGGCAGCCGCGGCGAGCGAGCCCAATACCCCAGAACCGTGCGCGGCCGCGCCGAGGCCCCGCGGGACTCACCGCACGGTGTGGCCACCGCACGGACGCGGGGCCTCCCAGAGTCCCCGGGGGGGGGGCGGGCGGAGAGGTGCCGGAGCAGGCGCCCAGCATATCTTTGCCCAGTGCCGTGTCAGAGCAGGCCTGCGAGGCTGCCAGGGCTGGGCACCGCGTGCAGGGAAACGCTTCTCTTCCTCCTCCTCCTCCTCCTCCTCCTCCTCCTCCTCCTCCTCCTCCTCCTCATCCTCATCCTCATCCTCGTCCTCATCCTCACCCTCACCCTCACCCTCATCATCATCATCATCATCATCATCATCATCATCATCATCATCATCATCATCATCACCACCATCATCACCATCATCATCATCATCATCATCATCATCATCATCATCATCATCATCATCAACATCATCATCATCATCATCATCATCATCAGCATCATCCATGTCCTCCATTCCTGTTCACTATAAAGAACTTCTCCCTGTCGCACCCCGAAGCCAGCTCTTAGGGCGCGCTGGGCGTTTCGCCTGAGACCTCCTTACAAGTTATGAGTCTGAAGCTTAAAAACGGACAACAGCTTCACAGATGGAGGGCGGGTTATTTCAAAATGTGTCTCGCCTTAGCGCGGCGCACCTTCGTCGTAAACATTTGCTAGAGTTTCACGGATTGAGGGCGGATGGTTTTCAACATGTGGCTCTCGCATCAGCGCCGCGCACATTCGTTTCAAACATGTTCAAGAGTTCCACGGAGTGAGGGCGGTTCCTTTTCAAAATGTGGCTCACGCCTAAGCGCCGCGCACATTTGTTTCCGACATGTTCAAGAGTTCCACGGATTCACATCATCAAAATACCAGAAAATGTGTCTGGAAGGATTCAGGATTACGCGGGTGCAACAGTTGCATTGATTCTCTGTGTTGAAGTCCTAAGAATTGCGCTCTGGTATGATTCAGGATCGTCAAGACGCAACAGTCAGGTTGATCCGTGGCGTTGGAATCCCGAGAACAATGTTTTGGCATGCTTCAGGGTCTTCAAACGGGTTTCTTCAGACGAGGCAGTTCCATCAATGGAACTGAGCCGTTGTAGGGGCCTATGAAGAGGGAGATTGGAGGGAGGGTTTACTCCAACATCGTTGATGTTTCTTGGGTTTGCACTGGTCCTCCTCCTCCTCATCCTCCTCATCCTCCCCCCCTTCCTCCTCTTATTCTTCAGCATTATCCTCATATGCGTCCTCCTCCTCATCATCATCAGCATCATCATCACCCTCCTCATCCTCCTCCTAACCCCCTCACCCTCATAGTCATCCTCATTGCTATCATCCCCCCTCATCCTCAACCCTTTCCTCGTCGTTCTCCTCCTCCTCCTCCTCCTCCTCCTCCTCCTCCTCCTCCTCCTCCTCCTCCCCCTCCTCCCGCACTCACCCAGCTCCTTCCCCCCTATCATCTTTTCTCCTCCCCATGCCCCCTCCTCCTCCTCCTCCGCCCCCTCCCCGTCCTCATGCTCGCCCTCTTCATTCCTTTTCCCCCCTGCCGCAGGTCTCAATTCAATGTCTCGCCTTGCGTTTATGATGGGCCTGTGGTGCCTCACAATGGCCCGAAGATCTCCCAAGAGAGCCCCAAGAGGGACCCAGAAAAGATCCAGGAGTACCCCGAATACCGCCAACAGCGTCCCAAGATCCTCTCAAGGGGGTCCAAACACGCGATTTAGCTGACTCCAGCATCATGGGGGGGGGACTCCTTGACGCCGCCTCCTTCCCTGACCGATGTTACACACAGTGGCCCCATGACGCCCGCCAGAGACTCAAGAGAGACCCGAATGCCTACCAACGCACCAAAATTTTTAGTGCGTCGAATGGCTAACCATCGATATTGAAGGTGCGTTGAATGGCTAGATTTTTGCTGCGTTGAATGGCGAAATTTCTGGTGCGTTGAATGTTTGAAAAAGAAGCTTCGAAATGGCCAACCATCGATGTTTGAGGGCTGCCTTCTTCGTGCACCTTTGCGTTTACGAAAAAAATCAGGAGTCGACCAGGGACGGCCATCCCGGCGCCCCTACAGTCGGGGCGTTGACCTAAGGAACCCTAAATATGGAACGAGGCCCCCTTTTCCAATAAGTTAAGCTTCGATTTCCCAACGAAAACCTACGGAAGACATAAGACAAACTGTGGAACAGTCAAGGAACAACGAAAAGGGTTCCTTCTTCAGCGCCCCGACTGTAGTGAAACCCATGAGGGTCAGAGAAATCACGACAGGAGAACTTGATCATCCTGATCACGCTCTTCTGCGCAGTCGTCGGCCTCCCCTGCTTGATTCTGCTCGCTCCTCTTTTCCGCCTGCTTCCCCTGAAGCAAGGCTTGACCCAAGGGGTCTTGCTTCGCCTCTCCCCAAAACAGATGCGTTCCCTAGCTGTTCGTATGCAGACCCCCGACGTCACGATTTTTTCATGACGTCGACCCCCAGAGGTCTCGACCCCTTCCGCGGGACCGGACTCTCCTCCTGCATCCTCGTCTGACTGCCCCGAGGCCTTGCGAGGGCGCCCAGAGGCTGAAAATAGCGAACGTCCTCCCGTCGTGATTTTGTCGTGACCGGGCACTCCGCTTGAGGATGGGCATTTTTTTCCAACACCACCACCACCACAAGTTGGGAGGGGGGAAGGAGGCGGAGGACGAGGAGGAGGAGGACGGGGAGGAGGGGGAGGAAGAGGAGGAGGAGGAGGAGGAGGAGGAGGAGGAGGAGGAGCTGGAGGAGGAGGAGGCCCCCCTCCCCCTCGCGCCCCGGTGGCGCGCAGAGGCGGGGTTCTTTGCCGAGGCTTCGCCTGGGCGGCCTCCCGGCGGGCGCCTCGTGGGCTGTCGCCTAGCTTCCACTGCACGCCTTGCACCACGCAAGCACGCCGGCCGGAGGAAGCAGGTAGAAGAAGCATGAAGGGGCCCACAAACACACAAACAAATACACACAAAGAACAGGAATCCCCACATCATTTCCCTGGGAGTCGACGACTAATTGCGTCTGTGTGGTTTCTTTCCCTCCCGACAGCATGGGGGAGGCAGGCGGAGGAACCGGGGTGGGCCCACGCGCCCCCCGAGAGCAGCAGGGCACGACAGAAGCGCATGGGCTCTTGAAGCAGGAAGGCGCTTGCAGTCCGCCGATCTGGCGCGTGAGCTACGAGGAGCCTCAGCAAGAGCTTCGGCTCTGAGCCCAAGCAAGAGCTTCAGCTCTGCTTGGGGGGGTCGCCGGGGTGGCTCTGCCGGGGAAGGGGGGGGAAAGGGGGGCGGTCTCCCATCTGGCGTTTCCTGACTGATTTGCGCATCCCGAAGATAATTATTTCGGGGGGTCCCAGGGACCCCCCTCAGATCTAGCCGCTACCGCTGCCAAGACTCCCATCGGAACCCTCCCCGGACCCCCCCCGGGGAAGGGGGGGAGGGGAGGGGGGGGCGGTCTCCCATCTGGCGTTTTCTTAATGGTTTTCGCATCCCCAAGATGTTTCGAGGGATCCCAGGGAACCCCCTCAGATCTAGCCGCTACCGCCTTTCCTCGGAACTAGGAAGAAGAAAGAGGACCGGAAGAATCGAAGAGGGATGAGGCAACAGAGCCGCGAAGATCACCGAATCTGGAGCCCCCTGTGATCGGCGGCACTGGCCGGAGGCCATTACGATAGAAGGGGATCACACCAGAGAAAAAGCCCAACCATAGGATGGTTTGAAAATTAGTGATATGGATATTGAGAACGATTGTGAGATCGATTGTGGAATCAATAGCTTGACTGATAGTGAAGTCGATGTACTGAGACAGATAGTGACGTCAACTCAATGAGATCAATAATGAGATCGATCGTGAGATCGTTTGTGCGATCTATAGTGAGATCGACTGTGAGATCGATAATGAGATCGATTGTGAGATCGATCGTGAGATCGATAGCGAGGTGGGTAATGAGATCGATGGTGAGACCGATCGATAAGAATATCGACCACGAACCCGGGAATCTGGGAACCCGGCCGCCCACGAATTCGGCCTGGAAACTGGAACCGGGAACATGGGAACCCGGGACCAGGAACCCGGGAACCTGGCCGCCTACCGAAATCGGCCCAGAACTTCGCCAAATCCTTCAATATCCGCTAGGACGCCTTCAGTGCAAGTACTGATTGGGGAATCTTGAGATCCAACAATTCCTACTTTCAACGAACGGAGTGTATATTACACCACATAGGGTGCACTAAATTGCACCACATAGCTTCACCACGTAGCTTGCACCGCACAGCTTACGGGAGGATTTAAACCACACAGCTGTATTACGCATCACGTCCCCTACAAGTCCAAAGTGCAATAACTCACTGCTTGGGGTCCACGCTAGCAAACAAGAGGGTCCTTCCCTGTCTTCCCAAGGAACCTTATCGGATCAGGTCGAGAGCGATGCTTCGAGAAGGCAGATATGCATCGAAACGGAGATGGGCTCACCAATTGTTGTCTCCGAAGACTCCTTCACGCCGACCCTGCAAGAGGCCGTCCATCTTTCACAATAGCATGATGCGGAAACCAAGGATACCGCGGCTGTTCCGTGCTCTGTTTGTTGTGCTGCATGCTATCAGGCTTCACTGAGGCAAAGCTGCCCTCCTGGGATTCATTACTGGATGATTTGGTGGGCATGCGCGAAGCATCTAGAACTAAGCTAGACCAAGGAGCTTGCACATTGGATTGAGCCAGATAAAACCAAGTGCCCAGCGTACTTTAACCACGCTTAGGATGATTGAGCAAAAGTAAACCACACTAGGCTGGGACAGGCGTGATTTCAAACAAGGAGATAACAGTGGAATGCCTCAGTTGTCCTCCCAGCAATTGCATGCTAACCTGCATGTGGGAAGGAGGGCAGAAGCGATGGAACGCACGGATATCCCAGCCCTGGCTCTGGCCGAACAACAAAAACTTGAGAGGGGTACTGCTCTCAGCCCCTGGGCATTGAAACCCTCCAGGCTAAGCAGGCCCAGCAACATGAAGAATGCCGACGCGAGACGCAGCTGCGGCAGGTTCACGTCGCGATTGCGTCACGTCGCGAATGCTCAACCTTGAATGAGAGACAGAAGTACCACTACCACCAGCTATGGGAAAGGCCGCTCCCTCCCCTCGAATTGCTGGCACCTCCTTCCGGGAACTCTCTGGAGGCAGGCCCGAAACGAGGTGTCACCCGCTCGAGAGGGTGGGACAGCCACCCCCCTAGCTGGTGGTAGTGGTACTGCTGTCTCTGGTGAGAAGGGACCTCGGCTTCCAGATAGCGTGGATCGCACGGCATCAACCAGTTTGGGACCACTGGCGGGCGACGCTCAACCTTGAGCGCCCTCGTGGGTGTCGCCGCCGCGTTAACGCGGCGCGAACCTGCCCTATACACGCCGCGCTCCACTTCCCGCCACCTCCATCTGGAAGCGCGCGTGTCGGAAAGTGCACCGCACTGGTTGCCTTCCCCACTCCTTCGAGCGCCGACGAGCGACGCCCCAACACTGCAGACGAGGCCGGGTGGGCACTGGCTGCCATCCTGAGCTACCCGGCCGCCGCAAACAAACAAAATCATAAACAAAAAAACATCTACACTCGAAAGACCAGACCAAAGAAATACCGAACCTTTCCCGCATCGTTGATCGAGGCTGATCCACCGACGAATCCAATCAACCTTCTTTTCGTTACTTCCGTTGGCGCCATACCCATGTGTAGCAGCATGCTTTCCGCGACCCACCCCGGTCCCCAAAAGTCTTGATGTGTTTTTCACAGTGTGGACGTCCGGAGGTCTTGACCCCTTCCCTGGCGAAAATTTGCCGGTCCCAGCGCCAGGTGAGAAACCCCAGAGACAAAAATGACCGAAAAACTTGCGCCGCGCACTTGCTCGAGACGCGGGCACCAGTGGACCCACAGGACCGGCCAGAACTTCCGAGGAGGAACCAGGCCGTGGCGGCGAGGAGCCTCCCGGAGGCCTCGGGGAGCACAGTGTTGCTGCTCAGCGGCGCCTGGGATCCGAGCTGCGGTCGTGGCTACGGCAGGGCTGCCGCGGTGCGACCAGGGCACGAACGCGGCAGGGAAGGACAGGGGGACAGCGCCGCAGACGGCCGGAACGCCTCGGGGAAGGCGTCGGGACCTCTGGGACCGCGCATTTTTCAAAACCAGGGCAGGGCATGTCAGTGGAGGCCGATGCCCCAGGACCCCGCGCAACCGTGGACGTGGACTGCTCCGCCTCGCGAGAGAAGAAACTTCGCGGTGCGTCTTCGCCGCCTGAATGGCCCCGAAGGGACACCGATATGCCTATATCTAAAGAGATGCATACGTACATACATACATACATACATACATATATACATACATACATAAATACATACATACATACATACATGCATGCATGCATACATACACACATACACACATGCATACAACATGCATACAACATTCATACCTACAGGCAAGCAGACAGGCAGACATACAAACATACTACCATACACACATACATGCAAACTAGAAATGCAAATATATGTTGTGCACTGTGGGTTGTGAAAAATATGCTGTGAGGTTTATGTTGGGCAAACTACGTTGTCTTATCTACGTAGCGCAACCCATGTGGTGCAGTGGAAGTATGCTGGCCGTGAGTGCTCAACTACACTGCCCGCGCAATCATCACACCCACCCGCGCGCAACTTGGCCTGCAAAACCCATGAGACGGCGATTATGATGCCTGCATGGCGCTGGCTGCCGCAACGCTGCGGCCGCGCTAGCGCGCAGGCTCGCGCGCAGAGCAGCAAACTAGACTGGCGCCACCGACGCGGCCGCGATGGCGCTGAGCGCTGGGGACTTCCCACCGCGTTTGACAGGCCGCGCTGACGTGCGGGCACTTCAATGCGAGGCGGCGACTCGGGCGGGCGCGGTATCATAGCGACGTTGGCAACGGCAAACACGACGATGATTGTGGCGACGCTGGTGACGAAGATGACGATTACGACGGCAAGAGCAAATGACGGCGCCGACGCTGATCACGCCGATGATGGTAAAGGCGTCCAAGCGTCGGTGAGACATGTGTTGGAAGGATTTCGACATGCGTACGCGGCCGACGGGCGCGAGTGGCCAGCATGGTATGATGTGCGACGGATCGTGCCCCGCCCCAGCACGCGCGCAAGTGCGTTCGAATGACTTCGGCATGGGCGCGCGAGAGGCACGTTTGGTCGCATGTGATGAACATGTTGAATATTCCATGGTTGTCTTAAGAATTCGCAAGAGCGCGCGCGCACACACATTTTGTTTGAAAGCGGATGGTGCAAAGCCATGCTGATATACATATAGAGAAAGATATATACATCTACATATACACATGTAGATACAAATAGACATGTATAGATGTGCTTCGGGACACTCGATTTTGAAACCCTTGTGACACCTCATGGACTTTTGAATGATTCCGACATGCGCGCGCGACGACGCGTTCGTGTGCACTTCGCCCCGATCCTCCTCCCCCCACCCCCCCCCTCCCCCCCCCCCCCCCCTTCCACGCCACCTCC